TCGCTAAACTTCAGGTTAGCGACTGAACTGTGCTGACCGCTTCACGGTAATTTTCTCTCGCGGTTCAACGCGACTAACACATCATATAACACCACCCTGCGGTAATTTATAGGTGGGTAACCTAACTTCGCCTACGGTTCAACGCGCATTCTAATACTCTCGCGGTACGACGCGAATTCTCCCACGGCATCATCTCAATTGCCTAACGTCTCCCTCCGAACAATCAAATTCCCACTAATTTTCCTTTTGATTGATACCCATTCTATGATGCGCAACTTTTTCCACCAATAAAAATTAATGTTTCCGTCCAATTAGAAACCTTGACACTAGTAGTTTACTCTCCGCGTGGACTGATTTCTACCTAGCAAGCTTGATAACGACGAATGGAATCCTTCCGTAATTTTAGCTAATCTCGTAATCTCCCATTTATTCTCAGCACCTCCAGCTTTCACACGCATTTAAAAAATCACGACCACTCGCCCACATACAAAATCAAGGCACTACTCGCATCCTACCTCTGGTTAATCTTCATATTTCTTAATCAAATTGGGGGTGGTTTCTAAATATGTCATTATATATATTAATGTGCTCCGGCTAGCTGTCAGTCTTTGATTCTCTTCTGGTCTGTATGAAAACGGTAAAAGTATAATTAATCTTTATTAAATTATGAAACGGTTCTTACTTCTTTAGATGCAATAGAATAACATATTAGGAAATGAGGTTTGACGCGGAACGACCCTGGAAAGCAAACGAGTAGAAAACATTCATTCGCAAAAACACACTCCTCATTGATATGAAATATTCAACAAACTCACTGTATAATGAATAATTGTGAGGTACTAACTAAAAGCAAATTAATTGTTTTTTCATTGACACCCTGTATTATAAAAACAAACTGTACTACGTTAATACATTCTACGGCACTCGGTGTCCACCAAAACCAAGCTTATACAAAATTAAATAGCAGTAGAGAATAAATTCTCTTCAGTTATACAGGGTGGCACACCGAAAACGAAACAGACTGAATAACTCGTAAGGCAAAAAAACTCAAAAGCCCATCGACTTTTAGTTAGAAGGGGGACATCTTTTGCTTAAATATTTACACCCCTTCCGTTAACCCCCGAAGCAGGGTTTCCGCTCTTTCCATAATTTTAAATTGAACGTTCGGTCGAGTGACACATCATTGGAAAGGGCTCTTCATTTCCTACACGACGATGGTTTATTTTTCAAATTTTAGCGAGTCGTTTGAAGAATACAGGATGTCAAATGACAATCATTCAAATGGATACTCAAGCTTTTGCGTGACTGAACACGTTCATATGAAATATTAGCTACTTATACAAAACCATGAAGAACATATAGGTACCATGAGAAAACCTGATGGTAAAATACTGATACTTATTTCAGTGAATCATACGTACTTATGGACTATGGTACATAGTTTGTTGCATTTACCTGAGTGTATCTTCCAAATTAGTAGCTCGAATTTGAAAACTAAACTATAAGCGTGTAGGAAATTAAGAGCCCTTTCCAATGCTGTGTCACTCGACCCAAGGTTTAATTTAAAATTATTTAAGGAGTGGGAACCCTGCTTAGACTGCGATGGGTGTACAATTTTAAGTATATTATATCCCCCTTCCAACCAAAATCGACGTGCTTTTGGATTTTTTCCAAAAACTATTTCCTTGCGAGTTGTTCAGTCTATTTCGTTTGCGTCGTGCCATTCTGTATTTAAATAAATACATTACGACGTTAGTTCAATTGTATAATGAGGTTGACAACTAATGGTCACACGCGATAGAACAATTGTTCATAAATACCTTTAATATTTGTGCGCCAAAATCTCTAGATGCGGTTTTCAACCAGAACAGAAATTATCTTCCCCCCAGTGATACGATTTTGCACGGACCGATTATAGAATCCACTAAGGTGCTCCGGCGTCTAAATTGGAAACTTTGTTTTCTTTCTTGGAAATGCTGCGAAAATCTTCGTCCACAGCGCGAAGGTGGCTTGATGGGTATGGTTTCTCGCTTATGGCTCAATTTCTTTCTTCGAGATCCATCTAATGAACCAGTTAACTTGAAAAATGCCAAACGTGTTCTGCAAAAACGACCAGCACAGATTTAGTATGATCGTATGATACACTTCTGGCCACTTACTAAAATAATCCATGGCTACCAATATGCATCGTTTTCCAGTTTTGTTTCGAGGAAATTGTGCAGCAATATCAGCAGCGATCATCTCGAACAGGGATTCAACCAAATACTGCTTTCTCAGTCCCCGACTTCGAGTCTTTTATCCCTTGCTACCAACACACGTGACGCATCCTCGGCAATACTTCCATACAGTTTTAGACCCAATAAATCGTTCTCTATTCTTGGCTTACGCTAGTGCTTATAAATTGTAGGCTCAGCTACGAGTTAAATATTTTGCTCACGGCAGACGAACCGAAAAAGATTGTGGGAGAAATCTAAGGTTTGAAAACACTCGGACGGGATTTATACTTCCATAGGAGCTGCACATCTCCCTAGCTGGGCGATTCGCTATTTGTATTAGGTCAGAATGGAACCAACGAAATTTTTGAGCGTCCCCTTTAACCAATATCAGTTCAGCATCTTTTGTTTGCACTGTGGTTTTCATCTCGGCTAAACAAAACCGCCGCGTCCGTGAGGTTCCTTGCTACCTTGGTAACAACCCAAGCGTTCTAGATGCGTAGGTTTATCGTTAATTATTTGACCCGTATTTACTATACCTATTATTACAACGTAGACCTGCAATTCGGAAAACAAATGAAATGCAAAGCGGGCTCCCGTTACACACTAGAGTCTGAAACACTCCACCTAATCACTTTATGCTTGAGGTTTCAGGAAGGTCTAAAATTTCAAGTTGTCGCTTTCAATTTGTGTGTTGTAGGTTCTAGGTCTCAGGCTAGGTTTCGTGCGTTAGGTTTTAAAATTCAGGATTGATTATGGTTTCGGACCTCGGGTTTTAGGCAAGCCGCTTTCGGGTCTAGTTTAAAGTATTCTGTCTTAGGGTTCAGACTTCTACGTAAAAATTTTAGGCTTAAACTGTAAAATGTAGTCTCAAATTACAGGTCTTCAGGTTTCTTGCGTTAGGTTTAAGGATTCAGGGTTGATTAATGTTTCAGGCTTCAGGTTACATAGGTACCACTGTAGGTTTCAGGCTTTAGGTTTAAAACACTATGGTTTAGGATACGGATTTCAGGGTAAATATTGTAGGTTTTAAATGTCAAATTGTAGTACTTCAATTCTAAGTTCTAGGTTTCAAGCATCAAGTTTCTTGCGTTAGATTTCAGGATTCATTCAGTACTGTTTGAGTAACGCGAAGGAAACTCGAATTTGCATACTAATTTTGGACAATTTCCAAGCGTTGTTGTAACGTGATAATGATAATGATAATGAAATGGTAAACCAAAAGTCACTTATTTGAATCTTTGCCCGCCAGAATATAGCAAGTACTTCATATACATTCAATGAAAAGTAACGTTCAAATTTCGTTTCTTGCTCACGGCCTGCAACGAAAATCTGATCTAATACGCTAAATACAAATTTGTTACATAGCATGTTGTGTTGTTACATAACAGTTACGTTTAGGTTATATAACACCAGCTGCATTATATCTTTTACTTCTAAGATGCAGTGCATGTTAAAATGTTACATAACAGTTTGTTGGGAACAGATATCACTCATGTTAAAAATGTTATACAACTGTTATGTAGGGAAAGAATTGTTTTATTACATTTAGTATGTTACAGTTAAGTTTATGTGACGTAACAGTCGATATAATAACTGCAATGTTACGTGTTTGCTGGAATTTTGCCCTCCACCGTGGAGGAAGCCGTCACATCGGTCATCGAGTTATCAACAACTATTTCTACGCTGTAGTGATCAACTGCACTAGAAATTGCATCGATCCGTTCAGCCGCTTCGCTTGTGGTTTCGATCCCGTTTTATTAGCAATTGTGTGATATTTCCTCAAACTCCTTTTACTATGTTTCTAGCGCACTTTAGGAGGTTTGTTGCTACGAGATAATCCATCAGACGTACCTACTTAAATAATGGAGTGGAACTGTGTGGGGAACACAATACCACCTAGAAACTATTCCTTGTCCGCAGCTCGCTAATTTTTATTATAATAATCGCAAAAGCATCGCATGAATTATGGTGTACCAGAAAGTCTCTTTGTTTCAATTTAACCCTCTTATAATGCCAAAGGCATCTCTCAAATTTAATAATCTTCGCTGAATGTTTTGTTTCGTATTCTCGCCAAGAAAAGTTTCAATATAGAATAAACTTATTTGTTTTGTGTAACATACAAACGCAAACTGTTAACAAATCTCGCTCACTCATTCTTGAAATATTGGTTAACCGACCGCAGTTCGCCTTTTAATAGTTATAAGTCTAGTTTTCTTAATTTACAACCGTCATAAGTTAATGTTAAACAACATTTCGTTTAGGGTAAAAAGTGACAATCCGAAAAATAGCAGTTTGAGAAGTTTTAACAACAGGAAACGTTTCTATGCTTAGAGTGGAACCAAAGCTTCTATTATTAGTATATCTTTTTGATGTCTTGCTTTGGGTGTTTTCAGATTTGTGTCATGACCGAATTCATGAAATGCACTCAAAAGACGACGCAATGTGTGCAATACCAATGACAAATGACAAGAAACCTTTACTGCAGTCAGTCGAGTACAATTGGCAAATGACATGGCTTTGGTTCTCCCCCTAACATTGTAGAAGCGTTTTTTTGTTACAATAGTTATAACAATATGCATGTTAAACGGCACTTAAAAGTCGCCTCACCAAGTGTTTTAGCTAGCCACTCATCAGGTAAAATTAGCACGTGTTTTTCAGAATTGGAATTGACGAAGTGCATTTGGTAGATGCGCATATACGTTATTTATGTATGTTAAATAGTTATAGTTCTTTAGATGCAGTGTTCAGTGTTTCGATGTTTTAAGTTTGCATGGGTTGGGTCAGTCCCTTGTATTGCAGGTCGCTAAAAAGGCATCAGTTCTTAAAAGGCGAAAATCGAAGAACAGAATGGATACGCCTGGAACTCCACAGGGAGACGCTCCCGCTCCGTCACCGTGCGATCCATCAACGGACGTCGTTTACTATATAGAAGAACCAAAAGCAGGTGAATGAATTGTGGAATTACTGAGCCGTTAATTTATCTCTTAAATCCCTTATATCTCCTAAGTCTCTTAGATTCCTAGATCCTTTAGGGACATTAGATCCCTTAGATGCTTAGGTCCCTTAGATCCTTTATTAAGATCCCTTATATACCTTAGATTCCTTAGACCCCGCAGATCCCTTACATCCCCTAGATCATTTAGGGCCCTTAGATTCCTTATATGTTTTAGATGCTTAGGCGTTTTAGATCTCTTAGATTGTTTAAACCCTTTAGATTCTTAGATCCCTATGATCTGTTAGATCCCCTTGTTTCCTTAGATGCCTTAGATTCCTTATATGAGTTAGATCCCATACATCCCTTACATCCCTAAGATCCCTTAGATCCACTTGATGGCGTAGAGACTTAAGAACCCTTAGATCCTTTAGATATCTTAGATCCCTGAGATCTCTTAGATCCTTTAAATTCTTAGATCTCTAAGGTTCCTTAGGCTCCTAAGATCCCTTAGACTCACTTGATCTCTTAGATCCCTAGATCTTTTAGGTTCCTTACATCCCTTAGGTCCTTTAGATTCTTAGACCCCTAAGATTTTACGATCCAATTGATCCCTAAGAACCTTAGATTCCTTATACCCTTTAGATCCCGTAGATCCCTTTAATCCCTAGGTTCTTTAGATTCCTTATATCCTTTAGATTCTTAGATCTCTAAGATTTCTTTGATCTTTAGATCCTTTAAATCTATGAGATCTCTAAAGATCCCTGATATCCCTTAGGTCCCCTATATCCCCTTGATCCTTGGATCCCTTAGATCTGTTAGGTCCTTTACATCTCTAAGATCCCCTTGATCTCTTAGGTAGATTAGATCCCTTACATCCCTAAGATCCCCTTGATAACTTAGAGACTTTAGACCCCTTCGATTCTTTAGATCCCTTACACCCCCTTGATGCATCCCTAAATCATTTAGGGCCCTTAGATTCCTTATATGTTTTAGATCCCTTAGATTCTTTAGACCGCTTAGATTCTTAGATCCCTTAGATCTGTTAGATCCCCTTGTTCCCTTAGATGCCTTCGATACCTTAGATTCCTTATATCCGTTAGGTCCCATAGATCCCTTACATCTCTAAGATCCCTTAGATCTACTTGATGGCTTAGAGACTTAAGAAACCTTAGATCCCTTAAATCCATTAGATCACTTAGGTTCCTTATATCCTTTAGATCTGTTAGATCCCTGAGATCTCTTAGATCCTTTAAATTCTTAAATCGTTAAGGTTCCTTAGACTCCTAAGATCCCTTAGACTCGCTTGATCTCTTAGATCCCTAGATCTTCTCTTTCATTCCTTTCGCCCTTTCATCCTTATTATCGTGCTCATCCCATTCATCTATTTCATCTCTTTTATGCTTAAATTTTGTTTATCTGTTCCATTTTGTTCCTGGACATCTTTATTCCCGACCCCTCTGAATTCTGATTGATTTGATTCGTGAGACGTTTGATAACTGTGATCGAATTTTTGTGGGTTTGATTCTTTTGACCGTCTTTATCCCTTTGACTTTTCAACTCGTTTCATTCAGTTTGATCCCTCTGATTCCTTTGATTAATTCGATCCCTTTCATTTGTTTGGTCCCTTTGACCACCTTTTTCTTTTGATCTCTTTAAGGCATTGATTATTTCTTCCTTTTGTGCCCCTTTAATCTTTTTGCTTTTTATATCCCTTTCATTTCTTAATCCTTTTGATGTCTCTGCTCCCTTTTGATCTTTTTGATCCATGTCACCTTTTTGATCTCCTTTGCTCTACGGGATGCATTTGATTCGTTTCGATGCTTTTATCCAGTTGATTTCTTTAAACGCATCTACTCTCTCTTTTCATTCCTTTCATCTTTTGGGTTCCTTATATCTCTGTGCTCTCTTTGGTACTTTTGTTTCTTTTCACCTCTTGATCTTTTTGATCCGATTAGCCCCTCTAACCTCGTTAATCTACTGGATCCATTTGAAACTTTACACCCCTTTAGGCACATTTATCCCTTTGGTTCATTGAAACACTTGTCCTTTGACCCATAATCCCTTTGACCCCCTTGTTCCCATTGCCCCATTTGATATCTTTGATATCCCGTCTATTCTTTTGATCCTTCTTTCTGATCGTTCTGATCCATTTGATCTATTTGATCCATGTGATCTATTTGATTCTTTTAAATGCGTTGATATTTTCTTACCTGTTTATTCCTTTTATGTCTCTAGTCGCTTTTATCCCTTTTATTCCTTGATACTTGATTTTTCGTTCCCTTTCATCCTATTGTTCCTTTTGATACTTTTGATTGTTTTGATCCTTTTCATTCCTATGATCTCGTTGGTCGCCATTATCCTATTAATCCCTTTGATTCCTTTATCTTCCATAACTCCTTTTACTCCTGACCTGCTTTGATGCTTTTGAATCATTTGATCTCTTTGTTCCGTTTGATTCATTTAGCCGCTTTATCTCTATAAACCTCTGATTTTTAATCCTGCCGTCCCTTCGGTCCCTTGGATCCGTTTCATCTAAATGATCTCCCTGGCCATATTTCTCCCTTTAATTATTTCTTCATTAATTCCTCTTCTTTAATTCCTTTCACCGCTTCAGTTCCTTTCATTTGTTTGATTCCGAACGATTTTATCCCTTTAGCCTATATGTGTCTATTGAACCGTTTGATCTCTTTGATTTCTTTTATGCGTCGTTGTGATTCATTCTATCCCTTTTCTTTCCATTCATTTTATCCCTTTATGATCCGTTGGGTTGTTTACCTTCCTATCATCCCGTTGGTCTTTTGGATGCCTTGGATCGCTTTGATGCAATCTTTGATGTGTTTGATCCCCTTGGTCCTCATGATCTACTTCGTATACTTGATGTGCTTGACCCTAAATTCTTCTGATCTACCTTTTTTATCGTTTTGATTCCTTTTCCTGTCCTATCCTTGGAACCCCATTGAATTTCCCGATCGTCATGATCTCTTTTTTTCCGTTTGATTTTTTTGAACCCTTTGATCTCTATGAGAGTCTTGGCCCCCTTGATTCCTTTGATCAATGATCCATTTAACCTTTTTAGTCCTTTTGATCCTTGATCCATTAACATGATCACATTATTCCTCTGGATTCCGTAATCCCCTTCATTCACTTGATCCCCTGAATCTATAAAGAAATATGTATGCCTTCAGGATCACATTATTCGTTTGTAGTGAAGTACAAGTAATACTTACATATTTATCTCTAGAGAAATAGAATTTTCATCGATTTGCATTGCTATGTTTTAATTGGCACCGAATTTTTTGAGTAAGGGAAATGAAATATGCTTTTATATACGGTGATATTAATTTAGAAGTAGACATAGGGATTTGCGTGTATTGTTTTTCCCTAAGTCTAATTTTAAATTACAAAATCTCTTCTGAATTGGTATAGCTGCCGAATTTAATATCTCTTCATTATAACCTAAAAGCATATAGGTACTACTCTTTATTCTCACTTTTATAAGTAATACCTACCTACCAACCAACCTATCTAAAAAGCAAGGCTATTAGCAGAAAGATATGAACTCTTTTAGCAAGGTGCTTAAAACTTTTGCTGAAACAGTGACATTTTAAAAGGAGCATAAAATATTTATCACTCCGTTTGCATTAAGCATTTAGAATGCACTAAAACAATGCAATGCAATTATAAAATCCAGAATGGCAGTGCAGAATGCGCGCGCAGTTATTTCGGTTGCATAAAATTAGGCGTCTTTCAGAAGAGATTTTGTCATTTAAACGTAGACATAGGGAAAAACAAAACACGCAAATCCCTATGTCTACTTCTAAATGAATATCACTGTATAATTAAACTAATACACGCATAGCATTTTTCTTCATATCGGCACAAAAGTAGGGGTAAAAAGGATTTTCTGTTAAAATTAACGAAAATTGCATTTTTCTTCGTCACTTTGCAAACACAAAACGATTCTGTCTGTTGTTAACTCAACAACAGCAATTATGTATTGGGTATTATCAATGTACTCACTGTAATATCGTATAATCTAAAAAAAAAATGTTTACCACATCCCACATTGAATTTATATGACCATAATGCGACAAGCCTACATTGGATTTTCTCGTTCCACTGTAGGAACACCAAATAGATTGAGAAGAGGAGATCGAGAAAGTTCAAGAGGTGCAATATTTATGAGCCAAACGAGTACGGTAACCGAGGCGGCAAGCGACGATATTGACGATCTTGACGGGGAATTACCAAGGGTTACGCAGTAAGTCGCGCGTTTTACGTGCGAAACTAAGTCTAAATTTCTCTACATCCCTAGATTAACCGAGGCACATCGAAACGCGATCCGCGCGATACGAAAAATCAAGTATTTCGTCGCCCGAAGGAAGTTTCAGCAGGCCCGCAAGCCGTACGACGTTCGCGACGTCATCGAGCAGTACAGTCAGGGCCACCTCAATATGATGGTGCGAATAAAGGTACGTATGGGGGATTTTGAACGTTGCGAGACGAATTAAATATGCTTGTGCTTAATTTAGGAACTGCAGAGGAGGCTCGATCAAACGCTGGGAAAGCCGGGAAGCTACTTGGCGGGCATCGATAGGGTTGGAAACGTGAAGCCAATGACGGTCGGTGCCAGGTTGTACAGGGTGGAGCAACAGGTGGGAATACCCAAATATTTATGCGGAACGTTAAGTTTATGTTTGATGAGCGTTATGTCCCTTCCTTCCTTTCCAAACAAAACAAGATTTTAATTAGGTCGTTCAGGGTTTGGTTCCGTAGGTATATAAATTAGAAAGCTATTTTTTCAGAGTTGCCTTTAGCTCATTTACTTTTACATATTGAAAACCAATTTATGCCAAATTAATGATTACGAATTCATGCTAAACGTATTGACTAAGTATATAGTAATTTTGTTCTCATTTTTTACTTTCCCGTATCATGCAAATTTTCTGCTCTTATGGTTTTCGAGTTATTTACATTTTTTGAAAGAGATACCGCCGGGTTCGTGAGTAAGTTACTCGTCCATAGATCTCCTTGCAGGCTGGGATGCCGCCAAATATTGTTTGCAGCTTTGTTAGTGGGCAAGCGGCAACCACAGTTTACTTAGTTGAGTTCTATGCGACTGTCGACATCCGACTGCACGCCCCCCGTCACAGGACGCCAGAGTGCGATTAACCTACCTATAGGATTTTCCAGATATTGGCTGGCACTATTTACAAACAACCAACAAAATTGCAAGTGGGTGATTAAATCGCCTTTGCGTAAACATAAAAAATTAAATAGCATACATTTATCTTCAATAGTTCGTAATTAAAGCAAATTGTAACGCGGAAAGCGACATTATTTCAACATGATAGAACAATTGTTCATAAATACTTTTAATGTTTATACACCAGGAGTTCTAGATCCTTTCTGGTTACGACTTTCAATCCGAATAAATTTAGTCCTCCCTTCAACTGAGCTGTGCAGGGACCGGCTATATAATCCTCGCTAAGACATTTTCTTCGATTTGGAATGGAAATTCACTGTGCACGGACCGACTATAGAATTACGCGGTGGGTACTTGCTTGTTTTGTTTCTTGGAAATGCTGGGAAAAATGATGGCTCACTTTTGGCTTAATTTAGATCTTTGAGATCTACCCAGTGGACGGTTTAACTTGAAAAATGCTCTGCGAAAATGACTAGCGCAGAATTGGCACTGCGATTTTCACTCATATTTTTTGGGTCCCCGTCCGTCGACCTTATTTACACCTTTTCTTACTACGCTGAATTGTATAAATACCTACTTTGAGCTATTATTATTATTATCGGTCACGATAGACGCATCCCCGCCCCCTCTCCTTGCTCTTATTTTAATTACACTGACCCCCTTTCATTTACTCATCCCGAATATGCATAAGTAATGCATATTAATTTACTCTACTTACATCTGAAATTCCCGGTTAGATTCCTTACGGTTAAATAAAAAACCAACTTGTTATAGTTGCGTATCTCTATTTATACTATGTATTTCACTGAGCTATAACATTGTCTGTGCATACGAAGCCTCGTTACAAGTATGATTTCGATCTTCTGATTCTTTATTACCTAGGTTGACACTTGCACAGAAGGAGTCACCTACTGATCATGATCTTCTAGAGTCGCAGCAGTGATTGCACAAACATCATGCATCTCAGACGAGACTCTTATGGTACACCGTGCTTGCATTACTGTCTGTATTGTAGTGAAGACGACACCCTGTAATGGCCCTTTTTTCAACCCTTGATCGTTGAGCGTCAAACGTGTAACGGTAGTTATATTTCTAGGGTTAAAATATCTAGCTTGTGCGATTGAATTTCTTGAAATTGAAATAATAATGGCAAATTTTTACGAAGAGAGTTTTTACCGTCGGCTAGCTCACGATTATTCCACTTGATTATAATTACCGCCAAACAAGAATAGACCTTATTTTTTTCACTTTTGGTTAATTTGTCGCTTCTTGGAGTGAAATAATGAAATAACCTGGTTGCAAGTAAGTTCGAATTTCCATAATATTTGCAGATATTAAGTAAAAATGATCCGTTAACAAATCTATGCCTTCTATATCCGTCCGCATTAAAAGTGAGATTCAATGTTAAATTTACAGAAAGAAATATCGATACTAAACCTTTCCCTTTCTTTTAAACTGAAGTACCTACCATCCTTTTTGGTGTATACAATAAGAGTCACAAATCTATTATTATAACTTTAATATATAATTCTTCGACTCAGTTAGAAAACTCAATTAAATTTACATTCTAACTAAATACTTAAATTAAACACTCGCTGCGCTCATTGGACAAATACACGTCTAACGCGCCAAAGACAGTCAATTTGCAACTTGTTACATAAAAATAGCTATATAATTACTTAATTTTGCATCTGGCGCTTTTACACGAACCGCCGATGTAGTATCGACAGCCTTTTATATAGGAATAGAGAAGGGTCACTTGTCGGCATCTTCCATAAAGCGCATTTTTCGCAACACCTGCCGCTTTCGCAGGTCGTAATTGGGGGGGGGGGGGGGGGAATAGCGGCATGTAACCAAAAGCAAATTGGTCTACGGCGAACTTACGGCCGGTTGCAGGAAAGCGAATTCTAATCAAAATCCTACATTATTTGCCAAATCTGAGTTTAAACAAGAATTTTGACATTTGATTGGCTGCATACTGCACTATAAAGTCAATCAAATGTCTTAATACCGGATTAAACAACGATCCTGGATTTGGCGAGGGAACGCTGCGGCGGGGACGACATTTCCTGGAGCCAATTTTTCGGGGCGAATATTCCGAAGTCGGATCCGCCAAGGGGGAATTTTGCGAATCGAGTATACCAGCGGCGAATTTTACTGCAGGCGAATATTAAGGGGACGTAAATTGCATTCTAGCTGGCTTACGAACCAGAATAAAATGACACAAACTGCTACCTAATGTGTGTTTCGTTCTGGCACTACTGTGTACCATAAATCAAAAAATAGCAAAAAAAAACAGCACCAAATCGAGGTACAAGAAATTTACAACATAAAATAAGATGTGAAGGTGTCTATGCCTAAAAGTTTGGATAACTCGAAACCCATAAAGCGTTTAAAATTTTTATGATAATGGCAAAAATAGCACAATATGAACTCAAAATTTAGGTATTAGAAGATTTCAAACCTACAGCATAACATATAGGCAAGAAGATAGAGCTCCGGTCTAGATTTTCTCCATGAAAATCACAGTTTTTGGATTTTACAACGACGTTATAGGTAGGTACTTCACCCTCATAAGCATAACATGTTTACCTAATCTTGCCATGCAAATGCACTTATGCTTGCGAGCAACAAACAAAAGGTTGTAGTGTGCTTGACCCCCAGGGTCTACGCTAACTTCACACTACAAGAACTCGGAAATAAACTCAACCCGGCCACGTTTAAAAATGGCCACCCGAATGACTATACTCTCCAAAACTAAACAAGATCCCGCTTAAATTTGAAAAGTGGCACGTGATAAAACATCTAAGGCAGGGCCCGTTACGTTAGTTGTAAACAACGCTTTGACTTGAAGCACAGTAGGGAAGGAACGTTAAATAAAACACTGAAATTGTGAAAAGTTTGTTTAATAATGATCAATTATTATTATGATTGTAAAAGCTCGGAAATTTAAGTCCAAAATAAATTACATTGCAAAAATAAACTTTGAAAATTGTAGTTCACCGAATAAAAATTGAAATAGGCTGGGAAAAAAAGAACTTACTAATAAAAAAAACCAGCCGTCAAATTAATATTAAATTGTGTAGTAAAATTAATTGTTTTGTAATGATGTGAATGCGTAACATAAAATTATAACATCACAAAAAGTAGCAGGTAAACTTCAAGAGGTAACATATAGGTTAAAAACAAGTTTTGGGAATTATGGGTCAGGTAAGCAGGTACCAAGATTCTAAGAAAGGGTGACATACACAGGATGGGACGCAAATTTAACTAAAAGCAAGATGTGGAAATTATTGAATCGCCACTCATTTATCGCACATAGATTCTAAACTGAAGAGTTTTGATTAGCGTAATCTCGCCCCCGCAAGATAGGTAGCGTCGCCCCTCGTTCGGGGTTTCGAGCCTACAGTTGAAAGTCGAAGACAATCACAGAATTAGGTGTCGTAGCTCAATTTTGACTAGTTTTTACCACCCCCGTGATTGCTTCATTCACGGAGAAAATTGTTAGTTACAAACAACAAGTCAATACATACATCAAACGTATCGGTAATTTCCACATATTAAAATAAAATGATCAAAACTTATATGAATGTTCCTTCAGAGACAATACCAAGTAACCAATATCAATAAACATAAATTAAGCAAGCATTACACCAAAAACGTAAACAATTAAAAACAATAGCATAACGGTATCACATATGTGATTATGCATTGCGGTTAATCCAAGTAAATTTCAAAAACAAAGATTCAAACACACAACAAATATAAAATGCGGCATACAAAACACAAATGCGATATCAAGAAATGCAAAAATTACTACCTGCATTAAATAACACAAAATAACAACAAACATTTGTGGAGCGACGCGTTCACGACCGCCATTCAAGACAAGATGATCAACATAGCCCCCGTTCGTGCTTTTTAGATGGCCCAGGCAACTTTTTCCCACCTAGAAATTGCATGGTTGCCAACTCTCAATAATGTATGTATCGTCGCAAGTTGTATATACAGGATGGAACCTTTCAAGGTTTTATACATTTTCTCCGGATGGTTATGAGCCGAAGAGTCCAGGTCCCCCAAGTGTTTCTGTCTCCTAAAATTCATGGAAATTCTTGCAAAACTTCAGGTTTGGTTTTCCGAACAGCAGTCAGGCTTGGCAAGTCCTAAACTGTACGTATCTCACAACCGTCGGGAGTAAATCCTGAAGATGTTGGGTGTGAATGATCTACAAGAATGTGGTGTAATACAAAAAGTATATACTTATTTCCATTCCGTCTGTCCATACTTGTCTCCTCCCCTGGTATGCTTGTTGAAGAGAACCGCACTAGAACGCGTAGATAAGTGGAATAATTTCAGTTTGTATTTTGCAGCTGGGATTAATGGATAAGAAGCTAGACGCGCTCACCTACGTTTTAAATGCTTTAGCACAAAAACAGCAAATATCACCGCAGCCTGTGGAGAACGATGTTTGAAACTGCAGTGTTCCGATAAAGAAACGTACAATTGGAATTTAGTCTACTTACAATAGGTATTTAATAAAAACATTGCGTCGTGTATCAACAATTTTTCTAATTATAAAATGCACCTCCAACAAGAACCAACTGTAAAAAGGGAACACAGCAATAATGAAAATTCACATCAACATATCTATGTGTAGGTACATTTTAAGGTGTGCTACATGTTAATTAATTTAGATTAAATTTTTTGATTTTAAAGAATGTGATACTGTCCTAACATATTCTTGTAACATATCCACCTGTTGTTTAATGGGAGTGTTAAAAGAAACGTAGCCTTTTATATGTCGAAATCCGAACTGCCACGCTTACTGTATGTGAGGTGATTCAATTAATGTTTTGGTAGATATTGACAATACCAGTACGGGTAGCCCTGATGTAGTATAAAGTGGCAGTTCAGGTTGCGACATTTTGGATATTGTATAGAAGTCAATATGAAACGTAAACAAGTCATGGTATTCTAGGGCACACTGTACGTATTGTAAAATAATTATTTCTACTCTAGCATTCATAAATACCTAGGTATAGTGCCTATTTAGACATTTTATAGCTTTCATCATGATCATAAAGTTCCTGTACTAAATCTTAGCGACAGCTTATTTGATATTATAAAGCTTGTGGCGAAATTTTCGCGTGAGCATCTTAAAATATTGTGATTGCTTATAGTACAGATGCTTTATGGGCACCCTTTTTGACTCGCAACGAGTTTGTACTATAACATTATTATCATGAACTATTTAAAGTTAGATATAATCTAAAATTAATCATTGGAGGTAGGGTCCAATTATTTTCCTTAGATGTGTTAAGTCTCTCACATATTTACCTTAGATAGTTGATTTGTGGGATCTTTTTTTAGCAACGCAACGAACAATAGTTTACATTTTACGGCCAATCTAAGGGTTCGTTACGATTTTAGGAATTGAAAGCGCGTTTTCTTGCTGTAACCTGTAAACTAAAACGATTCAGTTTTTGGGTTAAATACGAGTGCCTCTTGTCTGTGATTCACACTTTCTTCAACCACTTTTTGCCGAATTAGACACACATACACAAAAAATTTCCAATGGACCAACGTTAATTTTTCCAGTGGACCCAGCAAGATAAGTATCATTCGTAATGTGTAATCTCAGGACTAAATACATTCCATAATTGGTACAAAAGGTTTATGTCCATAGTTACGTAGGAAACATTATACTCGGTTCTCCATGCAGCTAGTTAGTGTACATATGTTGATATAATAATGAAAACAGCAGCCGAAGTTGGACCAAATTGCTTTGAGCTTAAAATTGAATATATTTGAGTATCATAAAATGGTGAACTTTAATATTTCAAAATCTTATTCTAACAGCAGGCAATATTTTATATCGTTCTTATAACATTGTAGTTTCAATGCGATTTAAATTTGAAAATTTTGGATTGCGTTTTGACATTTAAATTTTAACAACGAAAGTCCAAAATTTGAAAATTTCCCTCCTCGTTATTAATATAGATTTTATAAATACTTCTGGAAGTGCCCTACGTATAACTTTGCATTGCAATCATATGCCGTAGTTGCCTCTACTTATTTCTTTTCTGTTCTAATTTGTTTTACTATTGTCAAATTTTACTTTGTAAATAAAATGACTCATTTAACAGTTGTTCTTAAATGTGACTTTCATATTTTTATAGACTTCATACTGTCACATAATTTTTAGGCGTCTCTTTTAAAACTAGTCTAATTACGTTAATTTTTGAAATGAAGATATGTAAATACATAGTTTTAATTAAAGTATAAAAAAGTAAGGATATTAGGTACGCTCACAAAGTTCGAGTTGAGAACATAATTGATTAATTATCTGAATGTATTGAAAGTTATTCATCATAGGAATTTATTAGGAGTTTCTTGCAATATCATATTATATTATAGAAAGTAATAAAGCTTTACTTTATCTATTATGGTGATATAATTGAATAAATTATTTCCACTTCTTACTAGTGCTTTCTTTCCTTTAAAACCCTGAAACCCGACACTTCTTGTCTGAAAGACCTTTGATTTCGCTAGCCCAATCATCATTTATTTTTTTATGTGCTCCCTAAAAAAAGTAGGTACACACTCAGCCGACAAATGATGGTGCAAGAGCGTCGCGTCGGGAGAAAATAGTCGGTTGCGATTTCGATCGGTCCCGACAAAAATCGAGCCTGTGGACAGGCTTCAATAGAAGCGCACGCGCGCGATCTTTATCGGACGATTCATATCGCACCGATCTTGGTCGTTCCGATGCGGTGGACATCCGGCCTTATGGTGTGATTATTCCATGTTGAAAATATGATTTTTCTAAGAAGGGGTGTTGATATTTCTAAATACAGTACGCTGATAGCATTTTTGAAAAGAAAGAACGTTGGGTATCAGCCAAAAAAATCTAGCGTTTTTTCTAAAGCAGATTTCCATAAATTTCTTACGGAAGCACCCGATGACACGTACTTGGTGAGTCATTAACTAACAAGATTGAAACCGCTCAGAAGATTTTATGTTGAACTCCAGGGAACCCTTCATCATCTTCGTTGCCATCAACAGAACCTGCTATTTCATACCGTACTAATTCAAATCCTCTATCGACTGCTGAGTGTAAAGAATCTGTAAACACCGTGTTTTCCAATTGCCTGTCTAATTCCCGAACTCATTTTTGTAACTTGCAAATTGTACATTTAACTTCTACATTAATAAACAATGGCCCGTATGAATAAAAGTAAGCAAATGCTTATACTTGAAAAATTCAAAGTAAATACTCGTAAGTGCTCCTTCGCACTAGGCGACTTAGCAGCGCTGTTAAGCAGAAGGACAGGACGCAGTGCAGCGCTGCTAAACAAACCAGTATAAAGGGGCACTTACGAGTATTTACTTTAAAGTTTGCAAGTATAAGCATTTGCTTATTTTTATTCATACGGCCCAATAATTTGATTTTTGACACATATCCTACTTGTCGCATGTTACTGTAACTATCACTTGGTTGCTAAGCACGTTGCTATGATACACTTACCGCCCTAGGTTGGTAAGTGCACCTTACCGCCTTGAAAATGAATTAGTAAGTAGCCGACAATCACCGATCGTGCAAAAAGTATTTTTTTAGATGAATGGCGGTAACACTAAAATTCCTCATCCTGGTGTAAATAAAATCTCGGTTTTTACGTTTCCCAAGGACCCTACCGTTCTTAAAGAATGGGTAACAAAATGTTTCACATCCGCCAGCAAACTAAAATGTGCTGCGCCCTCATTGGTCAAAACGGCCAACCGATGAAAGCGTAGCGTCCCTGGCCGCAAACGTTTAAAAGCAGAGCCACGAATTCTGCAAAGTGCACCGCAATTTCTGCTTCAACTGCACTTCAAGAAACAAAAAGCTCTCCACCTGCAGAACCAGGTCGCCTTGCCAGCTCGACCTCGCGCTACACTCCATCATCAGTCAGAAGACCTACATCTACACCTACATCTACATCTACATATTCGGTTATGTGCTTCATATTCGGTTATGTGCTTTGGTGCTGAGTAGACGTGCTCTTCCTGCGCTGTAAATTTAAATTCTCAATAGTAAAAGTGTGATAGTTATTATCATTAATCAAGATGCCTACAACAAGGAGTGGAGAAAGCGGCGGCATCAGTGATATGGACTTACTTGCACAAAAGGTGGTCGATAAACTTTTGGCATCCGATGTTTTAACAGAAAAGTTCATATCTGCAATCTCTGTGTCCATAAAGGAAGAATTATCAACAGCCTTACAAGTTTACGAAGATAAAATTAACGCTCTTAGGCGTGAACTGAAAGAAAAACAAGCTGAAATAGACAACATCCTAGACGCTCATGAGCAATATACGCGTGTTAACAGCATCCGTATTTTCGGTGTAGGTACCTGAAGAGCCTAACGAAAAGGTGTCCGAGGTGGTACGTAACATGTGTCAAGAGAAATTAAATTGTGTTATATCTATATCTGATATTGACATTTGTCATCGTTTACCGTCCGACGGGAAAACTCAAAAACCGATTATTGTAAAATTTGTACGTCGTGACATCAAGAACCAAATCTTTTACAACAAAAAGAAGTTAAAAGGTACGTCTATAGTTATCCGAGAAGATCTCACTCGTCATCTGATGTTGTTATTGAAAGAAGCAGTAAATATATTCGGCAGCAAAAGGGTTTGGACTAGCGATGGAAAAATTTGTGTCAAAACTGATACTGGTATCAAGAGATGCACAACTCGCCAAGAGCTCAACAACCTTGTCAGAAATAAGTGAAGATATGGTTATCGGACGCATGCAGCAATGTTTATGTACACTAAAGCGTAACCTAAGTTTGTAAATGTAAACATTTGATTTCTATCCTTATTGTATACTTCTTTGTGATTGTTTATTTTTTCCTTTCTTTAAATTTTTATTACATCCTATAGGTACTTGATTCTATTTTAGTTATTAATGCGTTTTGCGCACATCAATGTTAGGTCTCTAATTCCTAAATTGCACATTGTTCAAAGCTTCTTGGAAAATGATGATTATGATGTCTTAGCGGTCAGTGAGACTTGGTTGAATGCGAAAATAAGCGATGACTATCTTTGTATTCCTGGCTACAATTTGGTTAGAAATGATCGAGCTCAGGAGAAGAGAGGAGGAGGGGTCTGTATCTATATTAAAAATTCATTTAATTACAGTGTATTAAAAACCAGCAGTAACACATCCCAGCAGGTGTGGTTGAATATTATTATGACTAAATTGTCTCTGGTTGTTGGGGTGGTATATAAATAGCCTGAAGTGAACGGTAAGATATTCTGTGATGAATTTGAGGAGACTTGTTCTGAGTTTTTACTCAAGTTTGACTTCTTCATTTGTTTAGGGGACCTAAATATTAATATTTTAGATACAGCGTCGCATAAAACACGTTATTATTTGAACATGTTAGAATGTGTAGGTTTGGTGCAAATTATTAATGAAGCAACTCGATCTGACACGGCACTCTTAGACCACATTCGATCTGACACGGCACTCTTAGACCACATATTGGTATCCGACATTAATCGTATACGAGAATCTGGCATTGGTGGCACATTATTCGCTGATCATGAAACCATCTTCTGTGAAATCGAACACGATAAAACTGAACCATATAATTTCTACAAAACGGTACGTAATTTTAAAAATGTTAATATGGAGCTGTTTTTTGCAGACATTCAAAGAGTGGCATGGCAAAGGATATTCTACTTGAGGGACGTAGACTCAAAAATAAATTATCTTAATAATCATATACTAAATATAATAAACAAACACGCACCCTTAAAAATAGTTTCAGGAAAAACCAAACCCCAGGCTCCGTGGTTATCTGATAACACGAAATACTTAATGCGTCTAAGGGACAAAGCTTACTGTAAATTCAAGCAAACCAAATCTCCACAGCAGTGGGAATACTATAAAGCGCTTCGTAATCTCACCAACAAAACTGTAAAGTTGGAAAAAAAAGCGTTTGTTGAATTTAAACTTAGAGGAAATGACCCTAAAGTCTTGTGGAGAGAGCTTAAAAAATTAAAAGTTGTTGCCAATAAGAAGAAATTAATTCCTCCGCATCTTCAACGGGCTGATGAGATAAATGATTACTTTGTTGATAGTATTCCCATTGTTGCTGGCGATCAGTTTAATATTGACGACTATTGTGTTTCTTCATCTCAAATTGTGGCCAATTTTGAATTTTCCGTTATCGATGTAGGTACCTACGATTGCCAAGATTATCAATAGTATTAAAACGAAAAGTGCTGGTTGGGATGGACTAAACGTTGACATTATTAAACTATTTTGTCCTAACATTTTGCCGTATGTGGCTCATATAATTAATTATTGCTTACTTACTAACACATTTCTAACCCTTTGGAAGAAGGCAATAGTAATTCCTATCATCAAAGGAGCTAAAGCAGATAAATTCAGCGACTTACGCCCAATCAGTCTACTGCCCGTACTGTCAAAAGTTTTCGAAAAGATAGTGGACGGCCAACTACGTTGTTACTTGACCCAGAATAACATTCTCCCTGACAATCAATCAGGGTTTCGGCCTGGTTATAGCTGCACCACTGCACTACTAAATGTTACGGATGATTTACTGAAAGCTAAGGATGAGAACAAGATGTCCATATTGCTACTCTTGGATTTCAGTAGAGCATTCGATACAATTAATCACCAAACTGCAATTTCCATCTTACGTGCTACAGGTCTTTCTCCTAATGCTACCTCATTACTTCATAGCTACCTAACGGGCAGGTCACAGTGCGTTACTTTAATGGGTAAGTCATCTGGGTACAGGGAACTATCTAGGGGTGTGCCGCAAGGGTATATTCTTGGCCCCTTATTGTTCACTATATATACTTTGTTTTATACATCAGTTCCTAAGACGTGTCTAGTTCACATGTATGCAGACGACATGCAGTTGTACCACTCCTTTAAAAGTGAACATTTACACGAAGCGCTAAATCTGATTCAAAGTGACCTTAAGGCTATTGAAAGGGCTTCATTGGAGCACTCGCTGGTTCTCAATCCTCTAAAATCGGCAGTCATGTTGTTTGGTAACAAGCAGAAAGTCACCGACTTGAAACATTTGATAAAATTCAGAATTGGCGACAAAGCTGTTGCACTAAAGGAGGAAGCAAAGAATTTAGGAATAATGATAGACAATTCGTTTAGATACAACAAATTACTCACTAGCTACATCCAGAGAGCATATGCAAATTTAAAATGTATCTTTCCCCATAGGCACTACTTGTCCCAACGTTTAAAAGCTCAACTCTGTAACGCGCTGGTACTAAGCCACTTTAATTACTGTTCGCACGTCTACGGTCCGTGCATCACTCAGGATATGTCTGCAAGAATACAGCGAGTACACAACTCCTGCATTAGACTAGTATTTGGTCTTAGGAAGTTTGATCT